AGGGAGTGTCTCTTTGGGATGATGAAAAGGTTCTGGAAATGGATTTTGTGGTGATTGCAAGGATTGTAATGTGCTCAGTGCTGTTGACTTGTTCACCAAAACATGTTTAAAGGGTAGATTCTGTGTTATGTATGTTTACCACAGTTTTTAAAAGTGTATACCAAGATAAAACCCAGTCTCTTCTCACACGTCCCTGAGGCAGCAAATAAGAAGAGCCTCCCAAGTAGGCCCCATGTTCACTCTCATCCCTTCTGTCCATCACCCAGGCAAGAGACAATGTGATCCTTTCAAATAGGAATCAGAATACGTCCTCACCACCACGTCCCAGGAACACTCCAGCATCTCCTCTTCTCAGGCACAATGAAATCCCAGCCCCTCACCTTTTCCTACAAGTCCCTCATCCTGGGCCCCTTTGGCCTCATCCCACCACTGTCAGCCCAGCTCAGTCCTCTCAATTGACCCAGCCTCTCATCACTGCCCCATCCTCTCTCTACCCCTGCTGTGACTCCCCACATGCCCTTCCTCCCCAGGTCCACACAGCCCCCTCCTCTCACCATACAGGGCTTTGCTGTCACATGCAAGGGTCAAGTCCTCAGAAATGTCTTGCCCAGTCTCCTGCCATCCTCAGCACCACCAATCTCCTAGCCCAGGCATATTTTCTCTGTGACAATTATCACTGATATCAGAATAATTGGTTTTTGTTGTTGTTGTCTCACTGAAACACATTCTTTGAGACAGGGACCTACTCTCATCACCACTTTTATCTCTAACATCTAGAACAGTCCCAGCACAGAGTAGGACCTCAGTGAATATGTACTGAATGACTGAATAAGCCAGTGAATGAATAAGCCAATATAAGTTGGTGTTATGCTTTAGAAAAGCAATTTGGCAACATGTATGAGGATCCTTAAAAATGATCCTGCCCTTTGACCTAGTAATTTGTATTTGAGAAATCTATGACTTGACAAGAAAATCTAAAATTCAGAAAGACCTTTAGGTACAGGATGTTAACCAGACATTATTTACAACAATAGGCAAAGTCCACAAAAGAAGAGTGGCAAGGACCTCAGTGTGGAAATAGCACACAGCAGGGACAAGCAGTGATTCAGAAGTCTGGAATGTCATATGCAATTGTTTATTGATGATAACGCTTTGAGAAACAAGATTCCAAACACACCATACAGCTCAACTGCACTGAGCAGCCCTGAACGGACCTGCAAAGACACAGAAACCAAATGGGAGAGGAGGGACCCAGGGTGACTGTAAGCACAGCTCCAGAGTCCCTTCCCACTGCAGTCTGTGGGGAGCTGCAGGAAGGGGTAACCAGGTCCTCTCAGGGGAGACAGTGGGTAATTTTCCCTCTTTCTGCTCCTCTGCATTTTAATACTTATTTTTAATTGAGCAGGTTTTTCTTTTTAATAGGATAGAATACCTATGGTGAAGTTTTAAAACATTTGAAGTGAAATTTTGATGAAAAAGTCCAAATATCCTGTCCCAGCTCAACTTGAAGCAAACTCTCTTCCCTAGATGGCAGGGGGCAGAAATTCCCAACGATGGCTCCTTGGGAAGGAGGAAATGAGCCCTTCCCCCACAGTGGCTGATCTGACCCTGGATACAGACATCAGCTGAGCGGTAACCTGCTCTTATATAATCCTAATGTCACCTCACCTGAGGGAGTGGGATGGATTCTTTCATTTTCATGGTGTGAATATCTGAGTCCCTGAGATCCCGAATGCCTAACATGACTTTTCTAGACACATTGCCTTGTGAGTAAAGGGTACTCATTGGGTCTCCTGGGAAGCCCACTGACCACCCACAAGGTGGATGCAGAAGGGGATCCCAGAGGAGAACCCAGCGCCTCCCTTCAGCAGTGAATGATGGGCGGGGTCAGTCAGCCACTGAGTGAGGGAGCTGGGGCTCTTGGAGCTCTCTGCAGTTTCCTCCTGAAGCCCTTGATACCATGTGAAATTAGTACTCAGGCAGAGAAAGATTGTTTCACAGAAAGATTAGGCTATAAAGATGTAAAAAGTTGATTTACTTTCTCAGCACAGGGTCGGGGGGAGGAGAGAGAAGGGAAATGGCCTGGCAAGAGGGAAGGTGGAAGGGGCCAGCAGGTGAGGAAAAGTTGCTCTGGCTTTAAAAGGTAAAAAATGGTTGTTTTTCTTGCCCTGCTGCAACTGAGAACAGAACCTACTGTCGGAGAGTTGGCTTCCCCCTTCCTCTTTCCCCTGCAGGCCGGTATTTTCTAGGGATGTGGTTTTGGCAGGAACTGAGGCTGGAGAGGAGAGCTTGGACTCCTACTGTCCCCTTAGGGCTCTTTCAGGCAGAGAAAACAAAACTCAGAAAGGACAAGTTAGGCCACAAGTGTTTTAATTAAATAAAATAAAAGGAGGAGTTATGCTGTGAGTTTTTTGTTCGTTTGTTTTTTGCACTTTTTGGCGTGGGCTGGGTTTGAACCCACCACCTCTGGTATATGGGGCCAGCGCCCTACTCCTTTGAGCTACAGGCGCTGCACCTGCTGTGAGTTTTTTCTTCAAAGGAGCAATTACATGCTGTGAGTTTGTCTTGCACCTATTTGATAGTCTTTTTTCCTTTGTTAGATAGCTCATTAATGAGGTCACCTTTAAACAGCCCTGGGCCCCTGAAGACACCAAAACTACATATTCCTTGTGAAGCAGGCTTTTTCTCTGAAATGTAGACCTGACTGGCCTCATCTAAAGCCAGCAATGTCACTCCTAGTGACATCCCAATTGGATAATCCCAACTCCCACTAAAATTGGCCTCAGAGTTGCAGCTGAGCTCCTGGAGCCAGGCAGGAAGTGAGTTCAGGGTTTGCACCTGGCTGATCTGGAGTGTGGTCCTGGAAGGTAGTGCCTCAGCAGGTGGGCTCTGGGAGGCATGCAAGTGCCTGATGAGGGGAGACTAGACAGGTGGGAGGGCTCCAAAGTTTGTCTCAGTAGGCCCTGTGGCCCAGCATAGGTATTTGGAAAATCTTCTCCCAGCCACTTTTGCCTGTGGTTTCCCATTCTACTTCCTGTCTGTTAGGCCATCCCAGGCAACCCCTTCATCTGTTAACCTACTGTGTGCTGGGCATTAGAGGAGTTAGAGCTGAGGTAAAAGTAACCAAACCCTCTTTCCCCTCAAGGTTGGCCCAGTCTTGCTCACGCAGAGATCAGTAAGGAAATTCTTACACAAGTGGTTAGTGGGACATGCACATTTGGTTTTTGGTTGTATATGCAAACCATCACTCTGACCAAAAAGTCACAGAAACCCAATAAAAGAACTAGTATTTCAGTTGTGTTTTGAAGTATAAGTTGGGGCCCAGAAGACACCCATGCAAGAGTGCACTGCTTAAAACCAGGATGGCAATTTCTTTATCTGGATCAGGACCCACCTGATTGAGGCAGGAACTTTCTAGCAAAAAAGTATTGTCCCACATCTGACTACTCAGAAATCAGAGCTACTCAATATTGAGAGTTGAGTAAGCATGTGCATGTGTGAGAGAGAGAACTGAATTGAAAACCACAACTCTACCAGAGGACTTGTTCAAATACAAAGCTTCTGATTCAGCAGGTCTGGGGTAGGGCCTGACTGTCACATTTTAACAAGTTCCCAGCTGAAGCCAACACTGCTTGTTCTGAAACCCCACTTTGAGAACCACCACCTAAGCCATTCTGGTTTGATTTCTATTATCAGAGGCTGCTGGAAGGGAGCTGTGAGGCAGAGGAACAGGATCAACTGGACCATGCCTGGCCCCTCCTAGGGAGCTGCCCACCCCAAGGCTCCAGTGTTTGGTTTCCTTGGGGTCCTGGGAATGGCAGACACCCAGGAAGGGGTCATGGGTCAGAGGGTGGTCCATAGGCAGGGCTTTACACACAGCTCTGAGGTGCCTGCACCCTCAGGTTCTTCCCACTCTCCACACTGACCTCTAGGCCTTGCTGGCCTCAGCTGTTTGGGCCTGTGAAGTGCCTAGAGGAGATCTGAGCATAGTTTGTGGCCCAAAAATATGAGGACCTAATGTGACAAGTATTCACAAACTAAGAGGGATAACAGAAGGAGCTAATAATCAGGTCCTTGAAAACTGGCAGATGGTTTCAATCTTGTGTTCTGCAGGAGAAAGACCGAAGTGTTCTCTTCATAAAGATCACAGCCTTGATCCCACATGGACACTAGAGGGTGCCTGAGTGCCCTGAAGCCACAGTTGTGGCATTGGCCCACCTGCAATCCCTCACAGATTGGGCTTTCTGCCTTACACCAAAATCTGGTCAATATTTCCTTCACGAGTGTTAAAATTTCAGCTTTTTAAATGTTAAATGTGTTTTTTTCCACTTTGCAAGTATGGTGTAGAAGACACAATATATTTAATTTAGCAACTTGCCCCTAGCTTCTGCATTAGGAATTTGAGACATTCTCGACGTCATCAACAAAAAGCTTCTAAATCGCCAGATATGTTAAAAAGACTGTTAACCTTGTATATCTTCGTTGGAACAGTTAACAGTGTTGGAAAGTGAAACTGATGCTTTTGTTTGCCACCCTAACATAGCACTGTGTGAGAGGCACCCTCCTAAAAGAATCAATCCCACACCCTATCCCATTGGATGTCCCACCTGGGAAATGTAAATGGGCCAACTCCTGCCCTTACAACAGATGTCCAACCTAGGAAAAGGAATGTCTCGACCCTCACTATCCTGACCTCTGTTTGCCATTACACATATGTGGATTTCTTCCCATCCTAGTTGGAGATCATATACCCTACCTACATCCTACATCCCCACCTACATCCAGGTGGGGATCAACTTTAGCAGGAATATATTTATGTTACAATATACTTTCTGGACAGCAGGTGGTGCCATGAGTGGTTCCCAGGCTTATACCTATTTCTAGGTTTACCTACCTCTGGGTTGCCTGGCTACTGTTTGGCACTTAGACTCCACCGGAATGTTGGTGCCATGGATTTCAAAAGGAATCTTGGCTGGTGCCTTGCACAAATTCTCCCTACAGTGCTCGCTTTGGCAGCACATATACTAAAATTGGAACAATACAGAGAAGAGAAAATTAGTATGGGCCCTGCACAAGGATGACACACAAATTCGTGAAGGGTTCCATATTTTTAAGACCTTTAAAACAAACAAAAAACACCAAATTCTCCCTACAGCAGTTCCCATAAAGTGTGGGGTGTCCTGAACCTGTTTTAGGTGTAGGATGGCTGCCTGCAGGTGAGAGTCAACTCGCTGCACCTGGCTGGTAGGAAGAGGGGCTATGCAGTCGCCATTTCTGAATTTTCAAAATATGTCTGCTTCCTCACTGGTCGCCTAGCCTCAGCTGTCCTGTTCCAGACCATACCACTATCTGCCCTCCAAATTCAGCACAGGAGTCCAAGCTTCACTGAAATAACTTAGGAGACCTGGAAAAATAGAGTCGGACTCCCACTTAGGTTAATTAATTGATAATTTATTTTACCTGCTGCAGGGGCTGCTGCTCTGAGAGATAGTCAGCAGCCCAGGTATGAGGGTGAGTTGCCTTTTATAGGCTTTGGGCAAGCATATTACAGAAGCAAAACGTGGCTGGTTAAGGGGGGGTTAAAACTTGGGTAGTCATGGATACAGCAATGGAACAATAATTAATATAGCTTCGGTTGACAATGGATACATCTCATATCACTATGGTTATGGTTATACAACAGTAATTAGTCAAGTCTCAGTGAGTTTTCCACCATTGTTCATCTACTGAGAACTTGGGGGTTTTGTGAAACTTGGGACTTTTCTTCCTTGTACCTGAAGCTTGTTCTTGGCAACCCTAGGGGAAGGAGGGGGCCTGGGAACATGGCTGGGAAGCACTGTTCTCAGCCACCATGGGGGGAGGTGGGACTTGCCTTGTTCCCGAGTTGACTCTGGGGGGAGAAGGGAGGAGGAGGGAAATAGGCTGGAGGTGGGGGACAGGTGAGGGCTGGGGAACAAGAGTGGGCAGGGGAAAGAGGGCTGGGTTACAACATTCACCAGTTTTTCTACTCTCTTAGTTTCCCCTCGAACTGGAAATTGTAATCTTCCATGGGTTATGAGCTGGTTGCTGCTGGCGCCTGCTGCTTCAGCGGTGGAGCACAAAGACTTTTCAGTCAGTCTCTGTGGGGGAGGGGCTGGTTGTCGCTAGAGCCAGCCCCTTCAGTGTGGGGGCACAAAGACTTTTCAATCAGACTCCAGCTCGGGGTCACACCCTGAATCCAGCAATCTGCCAGATCACTGCACTCCCCAAACTGCCAGTCCACCTCCAATATTCCCTACTAGGAAAGGAATGATCTAGCACACACAATCACACCTGCTGTTCTGGGATACCTGAGCTAAACTTGTATCCCTTCTGCCATCCTGCTCGCCTCCTAGACCCTCACCCTTTTGTTAATTTCACCGATCTCAGAAAAAAATAAAATAAAATAAAATAAAATCTTCACTGGGAGGTTTTACAAGTTCTCCCTGAAGTTCCAGTGAAGTGTGGGGTATCCTGGAGCAGTTTTGGGTGCAGGATGGCTTCCTGCTGGTGGGATTCAAATTGCCACACCTGGCCCATGGAAAAAGGTGGCTGTGGCTGTCGCCATTTCTAAAATTACAAAGTGTGTCTGTTTCCTACGGGGGATCCTTTCCCCTCAATTTTCTGTCCAGCTGCCTAGACCCCTGCCACTCCAAATGGGGTCCAAAAGGCTCCCCTTTCTGGTCGCCAAATTCCGATCGGCAGTCCATAGCTCATCAAACTCTCCACAAAACACCCAAACTCCCCACGAATTGGGAATTGTAGTCTTCCGTGGGGGAGGGGTTGGTTGGTGCCGCCTCAGGCCACCGGCTGCTGTGGCTGGCATTGCTTCAGCAGTGGCCCAAACTTTCTCTGCTAGACTCCGTGGTTCTCCGTTACAACTACAGTCCTGCAATCCACCACTTTGCGGCACAGGCAGCGATGCCTTTCTGCACCAGCACTCCACACAGGAAAAGATCCAGCTCCCTCTTTCTCGCCTGAAACCGTGAGGAGATTTGAGCTAAAGATCCATCCAGTCAGCCATCTTGCTCCACTTTTCCTCAACTTCAGCTTTTTATATAAATATTCATTTCTCTTTAAAAAGGCCACAAGCAAATATAAAGATACTAGTTGATTCTGGATTGTGGTATATGGATATCTTGTCTCATTTTTTGTATTTTTCTGTATTTTTAAAATTTCTCAAAATTAATAAGAATGGGGAGGAGGATGGGAACACTGTACCTGTAGGAATCATGTTATAATGGATTCATTCCCAGTCAGATCCTAAACTTTTATAGAAAATATTTCTAAAATTTTATCAACAATGAGTGGATGGATTTGCTCTCTATGTAATATGAAATTATGTTTCATTAAAATTAAAAAAGACCGCAAAAAAATAAATTTTTCTAACCCTAATTTACCTATTATTTCAGAATCTTCTCATCCTTTGAATTTGAGCAATTTTCAACCCTGAAATTGCTACACAGTTTTGCTACAAAATAAAGTCATGTAATCAGGTTCAAAGAAGTCATCCTTCCACTTTGTTCATTTCTTGCAAGACCTATAAAATATTAAATCAAACAATCAGACCGGATTAACATGTAGGGACCAGGTGTGTGTGGACTGATCCTCCCAGTTGTTTGGACTGGAGGAGAAAAGGAGCACAACCTCATTCACAGGTGAGAACAGCAGGGTAGTGACATTCAGGACATTGTTCCTGGGTGCCCTGGACCCTGAAGGGAGACCCTCACTGCAAACAGACATCCAGGAGAGTGACCACATGGTCTCTCACTGTCTCTTCCTCCTCTCCTGTGTCCCAGGCTTAATTCCCTAATCTCAGCTGAGTAGCATATTAACCAGGAATTCAAGACCCCTGGGGCCCCTCTCCCCCATGGCCCCTCACAGGGTCTTCTCTCTTCACTAGAACTCTGGGATGGTCTACTCGGTAAATACCAGCACAGAAAGGGTGGCTCACCCTGTGCCTCAGTCCTGTGCCTCTCCTGTCTGTGATCCTGCTCTCAGTAATGTCTCCTCCTGTGGGCTCTGCCTGGGCCTCTTCATTGTTATTCTTCAGGAGAGACAGGGTTCCCCACACTGATGTGCTGCTCACAGCTTCTTGAAATATGATGCTAGGGCCTGGTGCCAGCAGAGGTGAGGCAATGGAGGGCAGCTTGTAGTGCAAGGAGTCTTTGGGATTTGAAAGAGGGGTGGGAATGGGCTGTCTGTGGTGCTCAGGGTACCAAGACAGAGTGGCTGGGCTGAATCTGCTCATTGTCATTTTCTCCACAGCTTGAGAATTGCCTGTGTGGACCAGCAAGACAGGAATTCTCATCTCTCTGTGGCCCTGATTTCTCTCCTCCCAGCTGCTCAGCTGGTGAATCTGTTTCCTTCCTGCCGAACCTGTGGGAGAGTGTGGGGAAAGGGACGCACTCCCTGATCCCCCAGAACATCCTCCCCACGTACCCAATGTCCAGGCTGCAGTTCCCCTTCCCTGGATCAACCTGCCTTTTCTCAGAATGAAATGGTAACACTGTTTCCCCTTGTTACTTATTCACCCTGTAGCCATCCTGCTCCATTAGTGATTGTTCTCATTTCCTTTCCTTGAACATGTGGTAAAATACAATCAAGTATTAAGAAAACATGGACCTTAGACTCTCTCTTTGGAGTCTGAGTATGTGCTGTGCTGAGATGGGGGGCAGAGGGGAGAAGGGCAGGGGGAGGAGGCAGGTGCTGAGTGGGGTTCAGCCTCACTGTGCTCAGTAAAGTTCCTGCTTCTATCACTTCTTGCCTATTTGTCTGGGTCCCTCCTAGTGCTGTGACTTGTCCCTGTTCTTTAAGGGGTAGGTGCAGCTCCAGGTCAGAGCCTCACACACCTCTAGGCTGAGCTGTTTTCTAAACCCATGGAGGTCAAGGGCTGAGCATGGCAGCTCAATCCTGGCCTCAGTTGCTCTCCTTTAGTGTGTATTTTTAAATTTAGATTTAGTCCTTCTCATCAGGGGTTTATGTGAGTGTTATCACATAGGAGGGCTCAGATCCCTGGGCTCTGGCTGTGCTGTGTCGTCTCCCTAAAATCCCAAGGTGCCTCTGTACATGGGGCTTCTCAGGTGCCCCCAGTTGGCTGTTCCCACCTTTGCCCTCTTTCCTGCTTTATAGAATATTCCTCTTTGTCCCCACATTTATTGTAGAAAGTCAAATTTTGGAATTAGCATAGGGAAGATATATGTTAGTTCTGTAACATAATATATAGAATCTTAGCAGTTCTTGGTGAATACACTGTGATCAGTGAGGGCCCTGGCAGGAAAGAGAGGGCTCAGTCAGGGATGGCTGGGAGCCTGGGAGGAGGCAGAATGTACAGAGGTGCTACATGATTATTAAAACCACCAGAGATAATGAAACTTATGAAACTATCTATAATAGAAAACTGCTTTGATCTACGAGTTGAAAGTGGCAAGGAAGGAAGCAGTTTATAGAACTCAGGACCTCTGTAGCTGGGTGGGGGCAGCCCAATCTGTTTTGTGGGTACAGAAGAATGCAATGGTTACTGAATAAAAACCCTGAATTTGCTCTCACTGATCTGCTGACAGCAGAAGACTTTATGGAGAACTAGAACTTCCCCCACAGACAGCCAGAGAGGGTGCCCAGACCTGTGATAATGTCTGGTGCTTTTGAGAGAGGCCTGCCCATGGCTGTTCTCTTCCTGGGTTTCATCCCTACATCTCTGCTGGGGCTATGCTGGATCTCGGGCACAGTCCCATTCTTAAGGGTGGGGGGCAGTTGACAGCCCCTCTCTCACCTGGCACTTTACAAGAGAGCCCTGGTATCTCAGTGATGCCATGATCCCAGGAAGGAGGGAAGTAGTGGGGGTGACAGGCATCTTTGTAGGCTTCAACTCCATGCCCCAGGGGCTTTCATGTTTTGGGGGGGCTTCCTTTCTATACAGCAGAGGCAAATTGATGAGGGCAGTTAGGGAGCCTTATGAGGACATCCTGACCCCCACTTTCATGGACTACGCTTATTAAAATGTCACTGTGAACCCGCCAGGGGAGGTTTCTGCCTCTCTCAGTGCACCTTAGGATACTCACATCACTATTTCACAGGAGTGTCTCCCATTAAAT